CGAAGCAGTTGTGTCCTTGGAAGTTTTCTCTGTTGTGATGATCTCCAGCAGCTGCATCTTGTCCACAGGAGAGAAGTAGTGCATGCCAATCACCTGGTGGGGGGACCAAAACCACCAGCCTGAAGCAGGCAAGCTGAGTAGGGAGTTAGCATTTTCTTTCTTTGCTAAGAAAATATTACAAAGAAAGGTGGTTGTGGCATAGGAATACTGCTTGGAATAGTCAAGTGGTTTGGTCTCATGGTTCTTCAATAAAAAGCTTAGTATGTCAGGGAGAGCATATCGGAATCCTCTTCCATTTGCTTCTGAGGCTTTTCATGAAGGACATCTGATCCTACTAACCATCAGTACCAATCACAGCTAAAGGTGACATCAGATTTATCAGGGAAGAATGAATTATGGGCTCAGTGCCCATAGCTCAGTGCTTAGGGCGCCAGCCACATACACTAGGGTTGGCGGGTTCAAATCCCGTCTGGGCCTGCCAAACAATAATGACAACAACAATAACAAAAATAGCCAGGTGTTGTGGCAGGTGCCTGTAGTCCCAGCTACTTGGGAGGCTGGGGCAAGAGAATTGCTTAAGCTCAAGAGTTTGAGGTTGCTGTGAGCTGTGACGTCATGGCACTGTACCGAGGGCAACACAGTGAGACTCTGTTTCAAAAAAAAAAAAGAATTATGGTTTCACTTATACATAGTGTTAGTGATGCTGATGGCTTAGGTGACAGGACCCACTTTTCTGCAGGGGAGGGACAGGCAGAATTAATATGCTGGACTGGCAGGGATGCATTTACATTTTACAAACCAGTATCTTCTCTACTCAAGTTCTAAGCCTTGACCAGTGAGCCTGCAACAGTAAACCATTTTAGGGTTTTTGTTCAGAGTTTACCTTCTCAGGTCTTTTGCTGACAGCTGCAATTTCACGGATAGGCAGAGCAGATGTGTTACTGGCAAAGACACAATGCTCTGGAATCACCTGCAGGGAGAAAACATTAAAGAATGTGTCATGGAAGCCAAGGAGATGACTAGTGGCCACAGCAAAGCTAATGAAGAGACACCTGGGCCCAGCTCACCCTCCCACTCACAACTGCTCAGATAGTAGAGGTCACTCATCCAGGCACTTAGGATCACCTAGGGCCTTTTGTGTTGGTGAATGTGTTGACCTTGTTCTTTTCCCCATTCAGCCTTCCTCTAGTTAGGGTCCATTATAAGATCACCTAATCCTGACCTGGAGACTACATCTCACACTTGAGTCAATGAGACACCTTAGATAAACACGGAAAAGATGGCCTTGAATCACATTTCATTCATTTCAAGACCTAGCATGGGTGTCAATCCCTTTTCTTGTTTGGATCCACCCCGACTCTCACTACCCTCACCTATGTAAGAGCAAGTCCTCACATACATGCCTATCTCTTTTTATATAGTGTGTTAATAAATAACAGTGTAGCACTAAGTCTACAGCACATGAATACTATTAACTATCAGCTTTATCAACCTGGAGAATAGTCTCTATTGCAGACTGTCACAGCATTCTGGCCATGATCCCAATTTATTCATGTTTTTATTCAGATGCTGGAATGAAAATTATAGAAGGCACACCTGTCAAATTTGTGCAAATCTGCGTCTGGCAGAATCCTAACGTCAGAGATGAGAATCAAGGTTGAAAACACCTTTAACACATTGAAAAGCTGAGCATAAAATAAAATCAATTATAATGGAGATTAGAGTACTGCATTAAGATTAAAAAAAAAAAAAGGAAAGAAAAGAACTGTATAGGTAGTTGATGGAAAAGAGACCTGGCTTGGCAGTATTTGTGACAAAGACTCCATGGTTTTAATTATTATTATTTTTGTACCTGGCGTGCTATATAAGTAGCCATAAGATACATAACACTTTAGATTTTATATATATAGTAATCTTTTTACCTAAAGCTCGTATTTCTTACTATCTGCCAAAGACCAACAGTTCCCTGAGTACACGCCCCTCTTCCTGGCTCTCTGCTCACATTCCCTGTGCACTGCCCCATCACACACCTTGTCTCTTCCTTCCCTTTACCATCTAGGTTCCGTCTCATCTCTTTTCTCCCTTAACCTTTGTGTTTCAATTTTAACTACTGTATTGATTTATTTCCAGCCAACACTTGTCTTGATTTGATCCCTTTTCTCTTTTCTTTGATTATTGGCTTCCCTGCTGCTCAAACTAACAAACTTGTCCCTTTTCTGATACTTCCAAATCTAGGTTTTCCAAAAGCAAATTCCATGTCCTCATTAGTAAGTGCTCTCTCTCCATCCTCGCTATGTCTGCTTTTGATGCTCTGAGAATCTACCTACCCTAGCTTGGCAGTGCCTGCAAAGCCCTGGGAACATCACCTAACTCTAAAGCTGAAGTGCCACTGGGCACCAGGGACATAAATCTACCAAGTTCTGCTAACTTTTCTCCTTCAGTTGAATCTAGCATTACACTTTGCCTAAAGAAAAGATTTTGGAATGTATGTTTCACAAGAGGAATTTGTCTGCGGCAGAGCTCTTTAGTTTCTAAACCTCCTTAGGTCCAGTCTTTAGTGGAGCAGACTGCCCCAGGTGGAATACTGCCTGCTGCTCCAGACACCTGATGTGTGGCCAAGTCAGTACCATTTCATGTACCATTTACAAGCCCACATTCTGTTTATGCAACTGCAGGCTGGTCTCGACCTGGGCCCTACTCATGCCTGGATTATTGACATTTCTCTTTCTCTGGGCTCTCTCTTCATACCACCTAATTCAAGTACTCATTTTTTGTTTGTGTTATCTCATCTCAAGAACTGGCTACACAGAGCATTTGGGAGCGGAACCAAAGCAGCATCTCTATAGATCAAGCCTCTGGAGAAACTGTTTCTCCCCTGTTTCCTTTGCTGCCTAGACCTGAAGAGGTCTGGTTATAGCTTACAGCCAACCAAAAGATCTGAAGACATCTGGCTCCAGTCCGTGAGGTTATTTGTATGTTTGGGTGACTGAACTCCCACATCAGTAAGGCCAGGGAACCTTGTGTTGACGTTAATAAGCTACTTGATTTTCTTCCCATAGGGTTTACATGTGACTTTTATAACATATGAAGTGTTCATGAGCTCACATAAAAACTTATACTTAGAAATGAATAGTCCTGGGGCAGTGCCTGTGGCTCAAGGAGTAGGGCGCCAGCTCCATATGCCAGAGGTGGTGGGTTCAAACCCGGCCCCAGCCAAAAAAACTGTAAAAAATAAATATAAATAAACTGTTAAAAAAAAAAAAAAGAAATGAATAGTCCTATAAAAAGAGCCGAGTGTCCGATGGGTCCTTTAAAAACTCCATCTCAGCGTCCCCCACTGACTACACAGGATTCGTATACAGCAGAGCCCTACTCACCGCTTCTACTTCCTTTAGCACTTTGTGTTTGAGACTAAGGTCCTCAAAAACAGCTTCAATCACCATGTCGGCCTTTTCAAACCCTTGGTAA